AGTATAAAGATATATATATAATTATAATATCTCTCTTGTCATGTATCTCGTGTACCCACTTTGAAAATTGGAATCTGAAGCAAAGATTGTCAAAGTGAAATAGTTTTTTAAACGTCTGTGTTTGATGAGGTTCTTAAGAATATAAGGATTTGATTATTTAAATTGTTTCAAAAAGTTTCTGGCTTCGCATGTAGATGCATAATCTACTGCTTATTATAATAAGCGATGGTACTTACCGAGTGGATTTTTATTACATTTGATATTCTTAGTGCATCGATAGATAGAAATAAATTTTGTTCTATAATCATCAATATTTTGAATAGTTTTTAATCGATTTCACGAAAGACCGCTTAAGTGTTCGAAGACTATTCCTAAAATCGAATCAGCTATTGCTTACCTTAAACAATCTAATAATTGCATCGTTGGTTCAAAGAACCCTGCATTCGTTTCAGATCATTCGAGGGTTAACATGTTCTACGAAACATTTATCGCGAACGTGTTTTGTACGCTAACGGAGCAGATTTAATAACAACGATGTCGTCATTATTCATTTTTTTTTACAATTTCCATAAAAACGAAGACGAGTTATTATTATTATTTCCGTGGAAGAATTTTACATCGACGTCGTTATTTCCAATGGAGGAATTCTTTGGAAACCGAGAAGCACGAACTATGCAGAAAATTATCGCGCGACGCGGTAATTACGGTGGAAAAGTGTCGTGCGAAAAACACGACTGCATTTCCGCGAGTTGGATTTTTCTGAAAGTTCGCAAAACAATACGCAGCGGTTTCGCAACTATTTGTATTTTGCTTTTGCGATGATCGTCGTCGCGCTGCCAACGTCAATCCGTAATTATTGTCATTACGCAATGCGCGCGTTATGCGAGTTCTTTTCATAGAGGAAAGCGAGAATTGAATGTCGAAGAATTGTATAATCGTCAAGTTCATCGTAACGCGGCAAGAAGAGATCTCGCGTGTAGAAACAGTCGATTAGAGGTTTTATCTATTCTTATATGCCGTATATTTAAATGACGTTCTTTCAGGAAACTTTCGCGCGTAACGAATATGATAATGACGAGCGTAGAATAATTTAATTTTTATAACTTAATCGACACGATTAGCTAAGAACTCATGGTAATAGCCTCGGTGAAAAGTATTTTTGGGCGGTGGTGCATTGTTTCTGGCAAATAATGCACGCATGACTCTATCGGAAATGTTCCGTCGTAATTTGTACAGGAGGACAGTGCATATTTACAGGGTGCTGCCAGTAGGCCACGGACAATAAAAAGGGGCCTCGACGAATTCCACATCGAAGACGGCGAGCCTGAGAAAGTGGATCATCTCCTGTTCCTTGTTCATGGCATTGGAAGCGTGTGCGATTTGAAGTTCCGAAGCGTCGAAGAAGTCGGTAGGTGTTTCAATTATATTACACAGTGCTGTCAAAAAGTGTTCAAATTCTGCAATTTTCTACCAGTCATGTGCAAATATTATAGCATAGCACTTTCCACCCAATTATATTGATTTATCACAAAATTAGCGTTTTAGTAAAACAAAATATGAAACATTAAATCCTCTAAATCCTCACGTTTCAATTGAGTTCATAATTTCAATTAATTTTATAGTTCAATTATTTTCCTATAATAATATATTATAATATCCTATAATATTATAATATATTATATATTATAATATTATAGGAAAATAATAATATATTATTATAGGATATTATAATGTAATAATAATAATAATATAATAATATATAATAATATATAATATAATATAATATAATGTAATATATATAACTATAATATAATTTAATATATATTTGTATATATTATATACAAACGTAATTCATCCAGTCCTCGTTAATATGTACTGACACAATGCTTCTTGTATGTTTGCAGTTGACGAGTTCCGAAGCATAGCGCTGCAGTTGGTTCAGTCGCATTACCGTACAGCCAGCGAGCAAAGAGTGTTGAACAGGATAGAACTTTTGCCGGTCTCCTGGCATACAACTCTCCATTCCGAAGACACCGGGATCGACAAGAAGTTACAAGCCATCACGCTGCCGAGTATACCTAAGCTACGATTCTTCACCAACGACACGCTGCTCGACATACTTTTCTACACCAGCCCCGTCTATTGCCAGACCATAATGCATACAGTCGGCAACGAGATCAACAGGCTGTTCACACTGTTCAAAGACAGGAATCCGGACTTCGACGGCGGAATTTATTTAGGCGGCCACTCGCTGGGTAGCTTGATTCTGTTCGATCTTCTGTGCCATCAGAAGCCATTGTCCGAGGAGAAATCGAGCGCCGATGACAACGAAACGACCGAAGAAAAAGTATGTTTGCTCGCTTCTTTCGTTATGGAAATGTATTCTTTTTCATGACAGACAGAAGACTAGGATTATTAATGGGCCTGTGCATTTGATGTATTTGTGAGGAGAATGAGTATGTGTTAAAAAAAGAACTTAAATAATATTTTACAGAACTTAAGTAAAATTAATTTAAAGAATTTAAAAAGCACTTAAGTAATATTTTATATAATTACCGTGAACAATTTTTATTAGCTATTTCATTAGGACTGAAATAAAATGAAAGGCCTATTAAAGTGTGTTTAATTTATTGTCATTAGAGACTGTAGAATTTTGTAGAAATTCAATGAACGGAAACATTTGATTATACATTTATAGACATTCTTTTATACCGAATGTTGGAAAATATTAAATGTTAGAAATGCATCAAATCCACAGTCTAATTGCTGCGCTCGGTTTCAGATCATCGAGACCAGGAACATATATGTATGTTTGCTGTTGTTTCTCTTACAGAACGAAGAAGACAACGACAACAGGCGATTAAGCTCGAAACGAGTCATAAGGAGACGCCGTAGTAAAAAAATAAGTTACGTAATGGGTGCTGCTGGGACCGGTCAGCCTTATATACATTATCCGCAATTGAATTTTCAACCACGTGCCTTCTTCGCTCTCGGTAGTCCGATCGGAATGTTCGTGACAGTTCGGGGCATTGACATGCTTGGTGAAGACTTTGTCTTACCGACGTGCCCGGCGTTCTTCAACATATTCCACCCATTCGATCCCGTTGCGTACAGAGTCGAGGCACTGATCAATCTGGAGGCCAGCAAGTATCGGCCAATGTTGATTCCTCATCACAAAGGCCGAAAACGAATGCATTTAGGTAAATATCGCAACACTTTAACCTTTTAGGTACGGCTGAATTCTGCGCGAGGCTATTTTTCTGGACGGCAGAGTCTGATGTGTACTGTACAGAGTCTGATACTGTATATACAGGGTGTCCCAAAAATATCTCGCAATCCGAAAGTGGCGGGTTCCTCAGGCCATTCGAAGCAACTTTTTCCTTTACAAAAATGTTCTCCGAGGCACCGTTAACGAGTTATTAACGAAAAACAGTGACCAATGAGAGGCGAGCTCGGCTGGCGCGAGGCGATCGAGCCAATGAGCGGAACTGGGCTTCGCGCGCTGGTTGACTGGGCCGCCTCGCGTCAGCCGTACTCGATTCTTATTGGTCACTGTTTTTCGTTAATAACTCGTTAACGGTGCCTCGGAGAACATTTTTGTAAAGGAAGAAGTTGCTTCAAATGATCCGAGGAACCCGCCATTTCCGGATTGCGAGACATTTTTGGGACACCCTGTAGACTGTTGTAAATCGATGTGAAGACAAAAGAAGTGTGAAACAATGCATACATACATGCATGCGTCGTCCAGAGAGATGACATCCGCAAAAGCCGCTATAGTGGCGTATCGTTCTGAAAGATGACATCCGCGAAAGCCACTATAGTGGCGCGTCGTGTCTAAAAGGTTAAGAGAAGATAAAGACGTTTGAATTCTTAGATGTTGATGCAACTATTTTGCCATCGCATTGCAGAAGTTAGAGAAATAATGGCCCGCGTCGGAGCGGATTTGAAGCAGAAGCTGCTCGCCTCCGTGTGGAACACGTGGAACTCCGTTTACAGCCTGGCAGGATTTAACAGACCAGATAATAGCGCTCTGGAGAAAGAAATTGACAAGGTGGTGGAGGAACAATTACAGGATACACCGACTGTGTCAGACCATCAATCCACCGATGATGGTGGTGCTGACTTTAAAGTAGGTCAGCTGAATGGTGGACGAAGAATAGACTACGTCCTCCAAGAAGCACCGCTAGAAAGTATCAATGAGTACATCTTTGCTGTGGGGAGCCACGTCTGCTACTGGTTAGTACAATTATTAGAATTTTATTGAGCGTAGTTAGGCCTTCGAGTGGCTTGAGAGTTGCTTGGGATTAATTTGTTACATTTAAACATTTTTATTTTTGTTTAGGGAATCTGAGGACACCATGCTGATGATTCTAAAGGAGATATATGGCTCCCAGGGCATTCAGACAGATGCTCAGCTGCCTCAGCACACGATTCCGATGGAACGAGCCACCCCGTCGCCATCTTTGGCCCCGTCGTCACCCACGTTTAGTAAAAATAGCGTAACCTCACCTGTACCTGGCATAGGAATAGATCCTACTGCACCAGCATCGAGCAAACTCGTCGGTCCACCTCCGATGTGTGGATTTGTTAAGAAGTCATGATTAAAAAAGAACTGTTTGGACGTTGAAGAGTTCAGGTAAAATTCAAGGTGACGCGACGGTGTGTAACGAATTGCGAGTGATCGGGTTGGTGCAGGCGTTGTACCTGACACGGATATGCGAAGCATGAACTGTAAGGATAGTGGAATCAAAGTTTTTCATTCGTAAGTTACGATAGAATATTTTATTAGTATATTGATCGGGTTGTTCCATAAGTTCCAGCTGTTTATTGCTCTGCTATTTCAATTAATAATTGTGATACAATTGTTCGCTCGATGTTTTCGACATAGACATTATGTGCAGTCACTATAAAATCGTTGAGAGTTTTCGTTATCATATTTCTGAATGTTCCAATTGATTGGAGGATATTTTTCTAAGAATATTTTGTTGCGCAAATATGCCATCTTTAGACTGAACTCTGTCATCTATACCTAGTCACATCAGTCGATCATCGTCTTGTGCTTACTTAACACACTGTGAATAGTAGAAACTTATTCTTGACGTGAATTTATGGGACGACCAATGTACCACGTTATCGTTCCACGATAATGGATTGTTTCTTTTTTTACGTGCTTTGAGAGACGAACAATTAACTCTTGGATAACTTGGATCAACTTCGACCCATCGTTTCCGAATGTTTCATTGAGTGGCAGAACTTCTGGCTGTGTTCTGAGTCAGTTCGTGCTAGGTGCAATAAACGAGGATTTTAAGAAACCACCTTAAAAAATATTTCTAAACGATAGTGTTGAACGAACATCCCAAATAGATCTAGATAGATTGAAATCGATCTGCTGGCTGTACTGTTGTTATTAACGTCCGGTGTTCAAGAGTTAATTAATTGTCGTCTCGGGAATCGGCCTACACGAGGTATCCGAAGCACAAATTCCGCAATAATGCATCAAAGAAAGCTAGAAGAGTAATGTAACGTTATCGAATTCGATCATGGATTTTATCGATCGACTTCTCATATTTGCGATTCGCAGTTTTTGGCATAGTAGAAAATATTTATAGCACTCACCGAATGAAAAAAAAAGAACGAATACACGCAAAGTCAGACTTACTATTATGGGATAAAGATTATGAAGACTATTCATATTGTTTATTGTAAATATATATAATATATGAATGAATATATATGAAATGATATATATATATAATTTTTTTCAGAATTATCTTGCATTGAGAATGGGAATTTAAGTGTAACTTTTCGGAAGTGCAAAGATTTTAATAAAAACACGTTATTCTTATAATCAAGAGTTTACAGAAGCCCTTAATGTCATTCCTATTACACTTTTAGTTTCATTAGCTTTTTTGTATGCTGTACGAACTGTGCTTAGAAATTCTACGATATTTTATCGGAATAATTTTCGAACGAGTTCTCACTTTTTAATCGATAGAACTTAATTAGAATAAAATTTAATGCAGAACCATGGAGTTCAATTTTTTTTATTTGTGGAAGGTGCGTTTATGTTGTTTTAAAAAAAACGGGTTTTTATTTCGATATACCTTGTTAATATGATAATAAAATTGATAATAAATTTTGATAATAAAATTTTAGAACCACGGTTGTAGAATAATGCACGCGGATGGCGCAGTAAACGGTGTGAATGAGATATTATGAATGACAGGAGCATATTTTTGCTAGCAATTGATTATTATATTGCTACCGAAAACAATGCGACCATGATGTTTACATCAGATGAGTTGAACAATCGTTACTTATTAACTCAATTTATAAAATATTTATAAAATATTTACAAAATATTTATAAATAACTGCAAAAGTGACTACGAAATCAACGCCTACGCAAAATTCGATCTACATATTACAATACAAATGTTCTTTCGACTTTTTTTCCTCTCGTAAAGCTTTCTATTAATTTCTAACGTTTCATAATTCTGATAAAATTAATTTCCATGTTTCAACATTCGCCGCGAATTCACGCGAATCACGCGCGAGTCCTATTTCTTTTCCAATTTTCTAATGAACTATTTACACCACGTTTCAATAAATACATTTACATCCGAGCTTTGAAACACGCATTTTCCAGATCTCGGCAACTCACGGCAAAATACACGTCGACTTAATTGTTCTCTGCCAGGCAAATCCCGCGAATAAATGCTGCAAGTTCTCTTCACAGCCGGTTACGAAGCAGCAGAGCGCAACACGCCAGCCCTGACAGTACAAAAATCGCGTGTCTAATGTCAAGTGTGGCGATATCTTTTTCCCGAACGGCGTTCCGAACGGATCATCGAATGGCGTCGGCTTATCGTGGCCGTAGTTTTTAGTTAGCCGGCATAAAAAAGAATGGTTCGGCACATGCATGGGTATCACGGAACGCTAATTAATTGCGGTGCACGTCCATAGGGTCGCCCCGGCTGGGGGACGCAGGGGGGACGGGGGCCGGTTGGGGGGATTGACGGCGACTGCTTTGCATTTTGCGTGCGGGTCCTCGTAAAACTACATGCCTGTCAGCCCGAGCGAATTTCAAGATGATTTATCGTCCCGGCGAAACTAAGTTTTTCGCGATACTTCGTGGCTTCGCGGAGGCTCCGAGAACCGCAGAGCCGCACAGCGCAAAACTCTGTGTGCATGCCACCGCGTTCGCCGTGGCGTATACCTAACAACTTGTACCGTCGCTTACGCGATCTGACATCGTTGATCGACTCGTGTTTTATGTTCCCACCATCGGGTTTAGCCAGCTTTAAAATATGTTTCCTCTTCTCGCCTCCGGAATCTCGCCGGCCGATTTCCCTCGCGACTTCGCGTGAACCGCGCGTTCCAACGCCGGTTGTTAAGCCGTTGTTGTCGGATAATGAGCGTCTGCGGTGAAAATATCAACCTTCGTGTCTCTCCGGCCACGGAACCAGCCGTTCGCAATGAGCTACCGGCGAATAAAATTCGCCACCTTTTAAAAAAAATCTAATAGCTTCTTGTGGGTGCGCGTTCCCAGAGCCTTCGGATCCTTCGCGCAAATTCCTATCTATCTTCGTTGTTGTTTTCCTTTTTCTCGGGGTAATTTTGTAGTCGAAACAAAAGGATTCTTCGGTTATGCGCGCGTTCCTTTGTATTTTATGGCAGTGCCAGATTGCTGCGGATTCGGTGCATTTGCGACGGAGATGAGCGTCTGTCTTGTAAAACGTAATAGAAATATTAGAAACGTTTAACACTATGACTGGAATCGGCAATTACTTAGTTGCCAACCCAATATTAATTGGTTATTCGCTTAATTGGTCGCTTTTCTTTGACCGCTGCATTCAATTTGTCCAGTTGCTAACATTCACGGATAATAAAAAATAACATAATAATAATAATAATAATTTTATAATATAACATTTACGGATATCATAAAAATGGGAGTGAGAGACATCTATAACTGGAATCGGCAATTACTTAGTTGCCAACCCAATATTAATTGGTTATTCAGGAGATGAAGAATACGATCGCACAGTGCAACTGTCGCTTCAATTCGAATCATTCGCTGCCGTTAAATCTTCTCTGTTCGATTTAATAGCGGCTCTAATAAATTGCATCTTTCGCATCGGCTACATATCGAGAGACGTACGCTTTCTAGACCAATGATGGCGAACCCGTGACCCGCGGGTCAGACACTGACCCACGCAGGCTTTTTAGATGACCCACGCGTTGATTTTTATAAACTTGTTTTTCATATCATAAAAGAGAGAACAGGCAATTAGTGGATGTTAACACTTTCACGACCGCGCTAGAAACCTCAAAAATTTGTATAAAATTACAATATTTCATCCAATTAAACAAAAATTACGAAGCAAACTTATATGGCATCGATTACTTCTTCATCATTCGCACCTCTTGCAAATCTTAATAAAATGAAGCAATCATTTTTAATTTTTCATTAATCATCCATTCGGTCGCCAATCGACTGAATTTAAAACGAGGAGATCTCCCCATTCGGTTGGCTAAGTGTTAACCGTCCGGTGGCACCACGCTGGTGCCATGCAAAAACTATCTGTTGTATGCCGGTGGTGCCATTTCGGTGCCATTTTAAAAAATTGAAATAACATTTGAACTATATTTCTTGGGTGTTAAAAGGCAGCAAACTAACTATAGCATTGTGCTTATATAACTAAGAATTAAGTAAAAGAGAGAAGGAAATTATAGAATTATATATTATTATATATAATAATATTAATTAATATATTAATTAATAATATATAATAATATTATATAATATATAATACATATATGATATATAATATATATAATATATAATAATATTATATATTATTATAACAGAATTAAGTAATTATATTACCGCCATCTTCGAAATTTTTGTTTAAATCTAAAATTTCCAAGCTATTATGCCGAGCGTCAAACAAAAGAATCGTATCTGAGATCTGCGGACGGCGTAGTGTTAATAACGTTGATGTATTAATAGTGTTAATAACATCGATTTCAATCTACTAAAATTATTCCGGGAAGAATGCAACTTTTAAGTTACTCCTATTCTTTTGCAGATGCAGACACAATTTTCCTTTTGCATAAAGATCCGCAGTATTCCGACGACATCGTTGCAGAAGAGTTGCGATGCAATTGTTACACTGAAGTGGACCCTGGGGCGAACCATGTTTGGGAGAAATATCTCAGCCTTTGGTTAAATGCTTTCGGCTCTTTTTTTTTTAATGACATTTTATCATTACTTAGTCCTACGCCTATGCAATAATTTACGTCTATGCGTATATTACTATACTAAGCAATGATAGTTCTACGCCTATGCAATAATATACGTCTATGCGTATATTATTATACTAAGCAATGATAGTCCTACGCCTATGCAAGAATATACGTCTATGCGTATACTATTATACTAAAACACAGAGATATTCGCGTCGCCGCGAAATTCAGCATTTCCGGGAGAAATTATTGTGTTCCAAAATCAAAACACAGTGGCAATGTCGTCGACAATTAATGACAAATGATTTTTCTTCGTCTCGTAACAAACAGCATGATTTACGTCCGACCATTGTTTATGACGCGCTGCGGCGTGCGGTTGCGGCGAGGAGTTTTAATATTCCTCGGAGCATAACTTCGCCCTTCAACAACAACCGCATCAAGAGACAGACGTTTATGTCTCGCGGAGATAGCAGAAAGTGCGCGCGGCGAGGGTAAGATTTTACAACGAGTCTTGGCGAGAGTGATTTACACGTAGGAAAAACGGTATGACATTTACGATATCTACTCGTGGATTATTTATAGCAGCTGTCCGTGCCGTGGAACGTCTAAAACCACTCGCCACCCACATTTTTCTTTTGTTCCTTCGAAAACATTCTTTTTTTTTCGAGATCCCGGTCTCCGCGTATTTACGTAAAATACGAGTTTTAGGCGAACGTGCGCAGTTTGTATCTGTTACTTAATATTACACGCGACGTGCACGCGCAATTTTATCCGCATTTCTCATTAATTCGACTCAAATTTCGAGGATATCTACTAGCAGTCTCTTATGTAATTTTGAATATATTATGCGTTGTATAATGATGTCATATATGTTATATAATAATGCACCACCGTGCATCCTATTTACCATTATCGGTAACGCATTCGCGAAAACAGGTTTTCGTTATCGGAGAGCTTTGATTTTCAATAACCAGCCTGCAGATTTTCGTAGGCGATAAGAATTCTTGTAAGTTGATTAAGTTAGTTATAAGAAACGGAAATGCCTTTTCTGTATTTTGTACGAATGTTCGCAACGATCCTTTCAAATTCTTCCGATGTCGTTGAAGCGTAAAAATCGGAAACCTATTTGTTTAGCAATTTATAATCTATAATTAGCAATTTTTATAATATATAATATTATAAATGATATACTATTATATATTATAAATTGCTAATTATAGATTCTAAATTGCTAAACAAATAGGTTTCTGATTTTTATAATCTATAATTAGCAATTTTTATAATATATAATATTATAAAATATACTATTATATATTATAAATTGCTAATTATAGATTCTAAATTGCTAAACAAATAGGTTTCTGATTTTTATAATCTATAATTAGCAATTTTTATAATATATAATATTATAAAATATACTATTATATATTATAAATTGCTAATTATAGATTCTAAATTGCTAAACAAATAGGTTTCTGATTTTTATAATCTATAATTAGCAATTTTTATAATATATAATATTATAAATAATATACTATTATATATTATAAATTGCTAATTATAGATTCTAAATTGCTAAACAAATAGGTTTCCGATT